CTTGTGTCACAAACAAGAATGTCAAAATGCTTAGTCATGTTGTCAATATAACTGTATCAGTACTTTTAGAAGTAAACAATGGCTACGATTTTGATGACAATGATTGAAAATACAAAAGACTGCACTTTATCTGTATGACACATATGCATGCGCAGAAGAGTACTCAACGGTCAACAACGTCACTTGTTTGCGGAAGTAGCTAAACATGAATGTCAACAGTGGAGCTCGTTTAGCAATATTAAAGTTATTTGTGTGGATGCGGAGTCGCAGCCAGGAGTGGTGGGATACTGATGTGAGTGGCTTCACTAATACAGAATTCATCAGTAACTTCCGAATGACCAGATCCACCTTCGATTATGTTTGAGCACCTTCGATTAACTCTGTCACGGGAAGAGACACGTCTGCGGCGGACCAAACAGTGCAACGCGTTGGAGTGTAGTGGCTAGCTACAGGTGCGTGCTATCGTACGATAGCTAACTTGTTTATCTTCTCATTCCCGCCTACTTCAACGCAGAATTATGACGTTTGTCGCATATCAATGGCGTGCGGGTCGGATACATGTGACTTGGCCGTTCAGATTGAGGTCGCATTTGAAAAGATCGAATACAGATCGGATTTGGACCACATACCCAAGTGGCCTGGGTCGCATTTGAAAAGATCGGATCTGTGTCGTTCAGACTGTCATGAAAAGATCAGATACAGGTCGCATAGAGGCAAAAAAAATCGGAATTGGGTCGTTTTAGCCTGCAGTGTGAACGTAGCCATAAACACACATGGCCCATTACTCTAGTTGAGACTGGACTCACATATATACTGTTGGTCTGTTAAAAAATTACAGTACAATGTCATTGCAATAAAGAAAAAGACTATTACACACATATGTACGTGTGTGTGTGTGTGTTACATTATGTCTCTATCACGTATATTTACTGTATAATGAACTTATGGTGAACAGTAGCCTAGTGAACACTGTCTGATCACACACCTGTTCTGTCTACAAACGCTTGAATGATTGAGGACACACACGTTTGTTCTCATGGCTCACCTTTCAACCCGCCTCGGCCATGAGGTCATGACTGAACATGATCTACATAGTGGCCCTTATTTCTTCAGAAACCTACATTCTTGGCCTGTTCTATCTCTTCCTCTGTTTTACCTCTGTATCACCACACATGCTTACTCCTCTTCTCCTCCTCGGCTGTTCACCCTGTTGTTCTTCCGTTCTCAGAGTGTGTATGTGTTGTGCTCTGTCTATATGCCAGAGGAAGATCATGAGATGCACTCTGAGCGATTATAGAGAACTGGTGATCATTGATTGATCTAATGCTTTACATTCCCCTTCATTAGTGAAATTCAGAATTCACATCTGCAATTCAACAATTCAGGACAAAAAAAGTCTAATAGAATTGTATAGAAAATATGTTTGACAGTTTATGACAACTAGTTCAACCATTCTGCATTTAATGACTTATGGAACTAATGCCTATATGTTTTGAGGGGTCTATTGCCTATATGTTTTGAGACTATTCAACAGAGAACCAGTATAATACATTTTGATAAACATGACATAAGCAATTAATAATGTAAGAAACAGCAGACACTTGTATATAAATTGCATGAATGTACCAAAGCATTTGCAATTTGTTCAAAAGAATGATAAACTGCTTTTATGATGTGCATTTTATTTATATTTAAATAGAAATACTTATGTTTAACAGGTTATTCAAATGTTTCTGTTGATTAAACAGTGACTAGATGATGATGTCTAAAACAAGAATTTTAGTTGTGATCTGGGAAATGCACCAAAGCGACTGAAAAAAACTTCAATATAATTATTATAATAATATAATATATAATTAGAATGTTGTAACTGCTTTCCTCTATATAATATAATATAAAGAGAATGTTGCATGTAAGTGCTCTCCTAGATATATAATATAAAATAATATATAAAATAATACAATATAATATATAATATAAAGATAATGTTTGCTGTAACTGCTCTCCTAGATATATAATATAAAATAATACAATACAATATATAATATAATACAATTTAAAGAGAATGTTTGCTGTAACTGCTCTCCTCTATATAATATAATATAATATAATATAATATAATATAATATAATATAATATAATATAATATAATATAATATAATATTAAGAGAAATGTTTGCTTGTTTGCTTTAAGTGAATGTGTTGCTGTGGTAACGGACTCCCGCTTGTGCGGTGGGTGGGGGCGGGGCGGCGCCCGCTCACTGATATATGAGAGGGAACGGCAGAACGCAAAGTAGGAGAAAACACTTTTTAAAAAAAGATTACTCATAAAAGCAAGCGATTAAGCATGTTTTCACATCTTTTTGTGGCTTGTCTGTTTTTATTAAACAAACTCGGATGAATAAATCATCACACCCATATTGACAGATTTAATCAGTTGTTCCTCTGCTTTTGGAAGGAAATATGTAACGTACTTTTTAAATTCACATGACGTAATGTGTCTGTCCCTTCCCCGCTTCAAACTCGTTCCTACATGATTAATAAACTCCTATGTAAGTTACTGTACGTGCTGTATAGTCTCGGTGACGCGCAGCAGCGCGATCTTCACACACACACAGAGCAGACTCTGATGCGAGAGCAAAACTGCGAGGATTAAAGTTGAAACACATGCTCATATACATCATGAGAGCTCCTGCTGCTCAGGGCAAATTAGTAATTTTTTATTTAAATAATAATTATTGGCAATTTATCTATAATTGAATGTGGATTATCTGTTTATTTATTTATAATAATGATTTTTTTTTGCCTCCGCCATCTTTGTTGATGACGTAATGGCCTCTGATTGGTCAGATCATCAAGTCCCGCTCTCATAGTGGCTTCCTGCGCTCTGATTGGTCAGAATCCCCGAAGTGTGTATCTTTTCCGGAAGTGCAGTACTCCTAGAGGGCGCTGTGTTATACACACTTTAGTGGGGGGGCATACACACTTCACATACACAAATCACTTAAAAGTGATTTTTTGGGACAAGTGAGATTTTAAGTCTGGACACCATTTTAGAGTATGCTGAATGCCATTATATAGTCAAACAAATGAGGACATACAAAATGTCCTCAATTTTTGAGGTGGTCCTCAGTTTACTGGTGTGTATCCTGGTGAATGTACCCAAAAGGGACATAAACAAACACACACACACACACACACACACACACACACACACACACACACACACACACACACACACACACACACACACACACACACACACACACACACACACACACACATTATAGGGGACTTTGCATTGACTTCTGTTTTTATTATGAGCGAAATATATATATATTTTTATCTACTGACGTACAACTGTAAAACATTTTTTTTTTGCATTTTTACTTTTTCATCAAGACATTATGTTTATTAAGCTCTTTTCCTTGTAATATGATGTAGGTGATTGAAATGTTTGTTATTTTTATGGGAACATTTTACATCAATGTAAACAAAGCCATGAGCACGAAATGGAAGAATTCACTTAAACATTTCTGCTTAATTCCCTCATGACAGTGGAAACAGAAGAAACCTTAAAATGTTAAGTGTTAATAATTTTGAGAACAGACATAATAGACATATAATTGAAACTTGACATTACAGGTCAGGTATGAGGTAGAAAATTATCTAACCACAAACATGAATAAGGAAACCACATCAGAGTGAAAATAAGAGTAATATAAAAAGTAACTTATAGTTTTTTCCAACTGCTAACACACTAAAATGACATGCACAGCACAATTATTTAAACTGACACACAGAGAGCAAAACCTCTTCTCAAGTCTGCAATAGTCTAAACACATTTTCTGCTTTTTTGCAATTCAAAATGACACTTTTTAAATGCACTGAACACGGTTCTCTGCATAAGACACAGCAATCTGACATAAAGTTACATGTTTGCCATTTCAAAACTGCCATTCAAAATGACACTAGATAAGCTAATTGGCCAATACATGTGCCACCTGGCCAAACACCTCAATGGTTAATTGTTAACACCTCAATCAGGATGTATAAGCACAATCTGTTCTGCAATTTTCTTTTTCAGTTAACTGTTTTTTTTTTTTGTGAGCATAATTTTGTTCAGTCCAATGTAAATATATCTGCTGTGCATAGGTTGCACTGACTTGTTTGGTGAAAAATAAAACAATAAATGTTTCAACAGCATGTGTGTGTATCTGCAAATATTTTTGTGCATGTGAACAATCTGAAGAATTTTCTACAATTTGAACTATTTTAGTATTATGGCAAAGCATACTAAAGATGAGAGTGCTTTTCATTATGCCCAAAAGTATGTAGTTGGTTAGTCAAAGTAATAAAGTAGTCTGGTAATAAGAATGAAGTGTGTGCCATTTCGTGCAAAAGTTTGATTTTGATAATGCTATATTGGTTGCAAAAATTTGCTGAATTCTTTGATTTCCTGGAAGAGGTGTGTGAGTCTGACCATTTTTTTTCTCAATATAATTTTTTCTCAAAATAGTGAAGTTGTTATATATCTACAGTATATAAATACTTATATAATACTGTAATAAGAATACTTAATAACTTTCAGTTAAACATATTTATAAATGTTAAGAATTTTCAAAAATGTTGTCAGTTTCTGGCACATCTGTTTCTGAGGGATGTGCCACTAAATTTTGTGTAGGCAACCAGTGGTGTGTATGTTACAGTAATGTTATATCACACAAACGGCCCATTAGAAAAAAAGGGGGAGTCTTGAGACAGAAGGGCATGTTTTTCTGGAATGCAGAAAGTATTGGGCAGAAAGAAAAATATTCTTTATTAAACTGTCAGGACTTGGAGTTAAGGATTTTTATGTTTTATCTTTGTTTGGAGTGGACACAGTGACGAGCATAAACTGATCTTCTCCACGGCAGTTCTTCAATTCTTGCATGACACAGAATGTAAGAATTTAGTGCAAACTTTGACCTGTGGAGGGCAGTAATACGCTCAGCAGCGTCTACACTGCCGGAATCCTACAAGAAGAAGAAGAAGAAGAAGAAGAAGAAGAGACATGCAGGAGGACTTGACCGCTTTGCTTATGTTTACTGAAATTCTGTTTTCGTAGCCGACACTATTTTTGTTCAATAAAGCCATCAGTTTCGGTATGTATTTTTGTTGATTACTACAGTAATGAGTCCCGCTTTGCGATTCTCTATATCACTTATTTGGTGAACAGTAGCATTTAGCTTGTAAGCTTTTAGCTGTTTTAAACAAGTAAGTTATTGTTGATAACATGTTTATGGTTCCTTTTACTGCATTCCGAAGACCCCCAATATGTTTGTTTGTCAGTAATATAACGAAATATGATTGAGAGCAAATCATTTTTCAAAGCGAATTTTGTTTTTAATAAATAATAGTTGTTTTGTAGATTGCATCCCAGTGAGACAGAGTTTTAATAAATAATAATAACAACAATATTGGTACTATTCTATTTAATAAATAGATTTGATTGTTTTCTCGACTAGATTTAAAACATGGGGGAGCCACAGCAGGTCAGTGCTCTTCCACCGCCTCCAATGCAGTTCATCAAGGAGTACACGGATGAGAACGTGCGAAAGGGACTGGCCCCCAAACCCCCTCCTCCTATTCGAGACAGTTACATGATGTTTGGCAATCATTTCCAATGCGATGACATCATTATTCGACCATTGGAGACCCAGGGCATCGAGCGCCTCCACCCTATGCAGTTTGACCACAAGAGAGAGCTGAAGAAACTAAATATGTCCATCCTAGTCAACTTTCTGGACCTTCTGGATATCCTCATCAAAAGCCCAGGCAGCATTAAGCGAGAGGAGAAGATGGAGGACTTGAAACTCCTGTTTGTCCACATGCATCACCTCATCAATGAGTACCGTCCTCACCAGGCCAGGGAGACGCTTCGAGTCATGATGGAGGTTCAGAAGAGACAGAGATTGGAGACGGCTGAGCGTTTCCAGAAGCATCTGGAGCGGGTGGTGGAGATGATTCAGGGGTGTCTTGTTTCGCTGCCTGATGATTTGCCACAACCTAACAGCTCCAGCGCGGGAGAGGCTGGTGGCGCGGGGTCAGCTGGAGCCGCAAGACTGAAAACCGAGCCTATGGATGTAGATGTGACGGGTGTTAGCTGCATGGTTGCACAAACAGACAAGAATGTGTCTTGTAAGAAGGACAAAGTGGGGGACAAGGATGCTGCAATGTGCAGTATTATTGATGAGATGACTTGAGCTGTCTAAGGAATGTATTGTTTTTATTGTTATTCAGGACATGCCCGTTCTTCAACTTTGTTACAAAACTCAACATAGGCAGACCACATATACATACAGACATTTGTACTATTTAACACGGTGATCTGCTCACACAGTCATTGAAGTAGAGCTGTATGTGTAAAATAATAAAGATCTGGTCTTTTCATTTTCATATCACTTACTGCTTTTTTGTGTTGTTTCCACATAAATAAAACCGACTACAAGAATCAGTTCAAGCCATATTTCACAAACTGTTGTTGTATGTAGATGTATATTAATGGAATGATAATGATAAAGGAAAAAAAAAGCTTGTTACACTGCTGAGTAAAAACCTGCTCTGCAGCCAGACAATGTAGTGTTATGTGATTTAGCCATTCTCAGTGTCACATGACTGTTACATGATGCAGATTGGTTGGAGGAAATGCAAACTTATACAACCTTTACTGCACTTATGCAATCTTGTGTAAGTGCACTTTAGTCAACACAGTGACGCAGATTTTAACCAAATGGATATTTGTATCATTGGTTGGTAATTACAATGCCTCTGTATTTGCAGTGTCATCCTGTTATGCTTCAGGTTTTTACTCACCAGCATGCCAGTGAACATATGTTCTACATACACGAGTCCATAAATACACAAACATGTAGGGTTTGCGAAGGTAATGTTTATGTAAAAGTTGTAGACAATTTGAGATAAATGTTTAAAAAATATTAACACAATGTTATTTCTCAGGGTTTATAATGTTATCAGTGGCTCAGAATGCAGGATCTCCGGAAGGGGCTGCATTCAACATCTAAAGCAAAACCTCTAACTACGTGCGGAAACTGTTAAATTACACAATGATAAGGCAAGAAAGCAATTATCAAAGCACAATTATTGAGCACCCATATGTCCATGGCAGAGTTTGCTTTGTAGGCGTCTGTCATTGAATTAGTGCGCGAGATTCCCTGTTATGAAACGCGGCGTTCGCTGTTTCACAACAGGGTGGAACGCGGAGCGGGAGAGCCAATGGGAAGCACCATTACTCGTCACGTGTTTTTTTTATTTATGTAATGTAATAATGGTGTCAGTGGCGAACCCAGCACTATCTGCGGTCTAAATACAAGAGAAAGATGTTGGTCTAGCGAAATTAAAAACAGGAAAATAGAGATCCATCGGTCGCTTTTTATTTTGTCCTTGCACTGCGTTGATGGAGTTCGGAAGAGTCAGCAAAGCCACGCTGTTCGGACTGAAGCGGAGTGAACCGATTCGTCATACACAACAAGGGAAAACGTTACTCTCACAACAAAGACTGAGATATGATTGACAACGGATAACCATACATATTAAATCTATTGTCATATATAAAAGTAAGTTGGAGATGGAATCCTAAAGTATGCTCATAGTCTTGGCACACTCGGCTCAATTTCGCATAAACTGCCATCGGCCTTTGGAAGCTTATAAAAGCAGTGGTCACGAAATGAGATAGGAGAGCTGTTAAACTACCGGTGTCATTTAACTTTTTTTCATAACGTTACTACATTTCATGCTCAAGAATCGAGCTCTGTAACTTTTGACAAAGGGCATCAGCTGTTCAACTTTCAGGAGGAAGCTGTCACCGGGTGAAAGAGTCCAGCATGGATCTGCTGGAGTGTCCGATCTGTCTGTTCCTCATGTGCGAGCCCGTGACCATGAGCTGCGGTCACTCGTTCTGCAGGAGATGCATGGGGGCTTTCCTGCCCTCGCGATGCCCAACCTGCAAAGAACGACTGAAACAGAGAGATGCGAAAAACATCAGAAACAACGTGTTACTGTTTAGCGTCATTGAGAAATGTTGCCCAGAAGAGACTAAGATGAAGTGTCACATTCAGGAGAAGCTGAAAACCAGCGAGTTTACAGAAGCGCTTCGTATTGCGGACGAAGGGATCGAGATGGGTAAGGATGCAAACTCCGTCTACGAGGCAAATTACCTTATGCAACCAAATTGGTGTTTATTGTGCAACAGGGTTGTGTTCCGTATCGGTAATAATGACAACTGACATGCAGATGCGCCTCGGACTATGGGTGTCTCAAAACTAGGGCTATAAACGGAGCTCGATTCGTTAATTTTTCTATTAAACACCGTTTTGTATTATTATTACAGAAACCGAATTGTTTTATGTTTAGTTGCTTTAAGGCGCTTGATTTCAAAACACAGAGATACAGCGCGAGTGTAGTCGAAAGAATCATTCTTGAGAGCCGATTCTTTTTTGTGAATCAAAACATATCACGAATCGGAATACCGATTTATGAGTGTGATTACAGAATTAACCAGAGTCACTTACCCAACCACAAGTTATTACTAACGTTATGTCTGGCTTAAAATAAACCAAAACTGTTAGTGTTGCATGTTGTACGTAGGCCTAAGTCTCGCGAGAATTTTATCAGTGTTAATTGGTTGTTCACATGACAAAATTAATGAAATGTTTAATTTTTTTAGTTCTTATAATTTTTTTTTTTTATGGTTAGGATGCATTAAGTAAAAGTAAACCCACTTTTTGCAAGAATTGCAAATTTGGTGTATATGATGATCGGTGACATGGAAGGTGCCTATAGGTTGTGCAGTCTATAGATCACTAGATTTTATACAGCAAATTGTAACCTTTTTTTTTCTTGCTGTACAGGATATTTGTAACTCATAATAATAGCCGGCTCTTGCCTTTTATAGGACATTTATGCAGTGACAGCACACCTCATTCTGCTGAAGTAGGCCAATGAGTTTGTGAACCTCATATTCACTAAGGAAAAAGGAATACATTGAATGCAATTAAAAACCTCCAGAAGTATGATGATTTGAATTAAATGAGGATAAAATTTACAAGAATCTGTTAATAGATTATCAATCATGTCAGTTCAGGACATCACTGTGGAAAATGCATCATAGAGATGATGTAATTAAAGGGTTAGTTCACCCAAAAATGAAAATTCTGTTATCATTTACTCACCCTCATGTCGTTCCAAACACGAAAGACTTTTTGGACTCATCTTTGGAACACAAATGAAGATCTTTTTGATGAAATTAAGTGATTTCTTTCCCTCCATTGACATCTACACAACTACCACTGAACAGAATTGATTTATTTTTATTCACATATAAACATTCATCAACTCACGCATCAGTTGTGGTAAACAGAAGCGCAAGCATGCTAGCTTGATGTGCGAGAAAGAAAGAAATTCATTCTTGCGTGACGCAGCACGTCTGAGCTTCTGCAAGAACCAATGAAGTTTGTTCTCAAGCGTTAAGCAAAGATGCTTGAGCTTCTGTTTATGTTCGCTGATCAATATTTATATGTGAATAAAATCCTAAATTCAATCAGTTCATCGTATAAAGCAATCGTGTCTCTTCAGAAAATTTAGACTAAACCGCTTGGGATTAGATTTACAATCTCTTTATGAACTTTTCTATGCGTCAGAGTTGCGTAGCTGTCACAAAAATTGGGACAGAAATCTTAGATTTTATTAAAAATATCTTCATTTGTGTTTCTATGAACGAAAGTCTTACGGATTTTGAACGACATTAGGGTGAGTAAACGACTCATCATTTACTCATTTTTTATCATTTTGAGACAAACTATCTCATTTAACATTTAATATACTAAATGCATGTTTAGAATCAGATCAGCCTATAAACACAGCTAGGCTGAGATAATGAAAGCCATATGCAGCAGGAGTCTGAAATCTGTTGTTTTTAGAAATATTTGCCCTAGATTACAGCATTTTAACACAGCGTGGGTTAGTTGAAGACTGTTAGAGATTGTCTTTGTGATCCACCTACTCACACACTTGAGAGCGGAGAGCCGTGCTTGTTGAAAGCAACAGTGATTTCATAATCTCAGGTCTCCTAAAGGGTTAATGAATACCAGTGAAAATGGGTTAAAACATGTTGTGACTGAGTGGCTGATGTCACTAACAAGGGTAAATAAGGCCATGAAAGAATCTCTAGGGCACACATTGGTGAAATAACAAGTCCCCTTAGGTATACAATATACACAAAGGAGACATTACAGAACATATTCTAAGATGCATGATTGTGGTTGTGCAGAATCCTGTGCAATTAATGCATCTCCGACATAATGAGCTACAGTGCAGTTTGGTAATATTGTAAGGCTCTTCTCTTTTAGATATAGCATGACTATTAACATCAACAGTACCATTTGTCTTTTAGTGAATTAAACGTATCATTTTACGGCCACTGAATGAACGAGTCATCTGTCTAGTAACATAAACCCTCCCAGGCAAACCTCAGATGTGTGTCAACTCTTTGAATCCAATTAGAGAGTTTCCTGTACGCTCAGCGTTCTGCCCCACATAAACTTTCCCTCTTGTGTAACCGAGAATCCTATAGCATAATCTGGTTTGTATCGTAACATCCTGGTTATTTCATCGGCCTGTGTGCACATATATCCAGTAGCACCTCATTGCAGTACACGAGATCCAGGGGGCGGAGTTGGATCCAGATCTAAGGGGTGGAGATGGGTAGGATTAGGGGCGGGGTTAGGGATCAGGGGGTGGAGATGGGTAGGTTTAGGTATATGTAAGGTGGGAGGAGTTGGATCTGGATCCAACTCCTCCCCCTGGATTTCGTGTTCTGCAGTGAGGACCATCTCATCACTGTCAGATCAGATCCCTTTGTAGTTGAATTTGATTAATCTCTAAAGCATCCTCATCCACCCCTTCCTTTGTTTATCTTATAGCAGGCGAACTCCATTCATTGCATTTGATCTTTATGCATTACACAGTTTCTTTTCTTTATTTTTTGCGTTATGCTATTAGATGGTCATCTCATGCCATCCAAGTGGTGCAGATGTAAGATGTGCACTAAAACACAATGGTCCCTAAAGGTGGGAGGAATGCTTATGCAGAGTGCTGCTGTTCAGAGATTAAAGATGTCCATTTAGGTTTCTCTCTTTTTGTTTATGCACATTTAAAACAAAAAACTCCATAAAAGCCAGTGCCACATATCTATGTCTGAAATGAGACTGAGCATCATACTGTCCATCTTTTCATGCATCTACAGCCCCGGATGATGTGAGTCTGAAAGTGTGGCGGGCCGAGGCTTGCATGGGCCTCCGTCGCTTTTCTGATGCCCTCCGTGACCTGGATGACCTGTGCTGTGTGCGACCCAATTGGACTGAGGTGAGGGCCATCTTTGCTGACTGTACTGGTTATTTATATGTTGTCTAGGGACAAGACTTTGATTACTGTTTACTAGGAATGGTGTTAACAGATGAGTTATATTCTGCATACTTAAAAAATCTGTATCAATTTATTATACATATTTATTATTCTGCATACTCACGCCAGATTTCTAAAATGTCTGTACAGTCTCATGTTTTGGTTTTGTGGAAATGACTGACACAGTTTCATGGTTATGTCATCTCTGTTGGTATGGACAGAGCACATTGTGGTTTGGTATTCTTCCCACAGCAGTTTACTGGCATACACTACCATTCAAAGTTAATATTTAATGATACTCTTTTAAATTAATTTAATAATAATAATTCATTACATTTATATAGCGCTTTTCTCTGCACTCAAAGCGCTTTTACATGGAAGGGGGAATCTCCTCAACCACCACCAATGTGCAGCAACCACCTGGACGATGCGACGGCAACCATATTGCGCCAGAACACCCAACACACACCAGCTTACTGGTGGAGAGGAGACAGGGTGATGAAGCCAATTAGTATATATATATGGGGATGATTAGGAAGCCATGATGGACAGAGGCCACTGGGCAAATTTGGCCAGGATGCCGGGGTTACACCCCTACTCGTTTCGAAAGACATCCTGGTTTTTTTTGTGACCACAGAGAGTCAGAACCTCGGTTTAACATCTCATTCGAAGGACGGTGCTCTTTGACAGTATAGTGTCCCCATCACTACACTGGGGCGTTAGGACCCACACAGACCACAGGGTGAGAACCCCCTGCTGGCCTCACTAACACCTCTTCCAGCAGCAACCTGGTTTTCCCAGAAGGTCTCCCATCCAGGTTCTAACCAGGCTCAACCCTGCTTAGCTTCAGTGGGCAACCAGTCTTGGGCTACAGGGTGATATGTCTGCTGGCCAATTTATCACTTTTATTCAGCAAAAAGGCATTAAATCAAAAGTGACAGTAAATACAAAAATACATTTATAACAGTAAATACATTAACATTACAAAATAATTCTTTTTATTTTAATGTTTTTTTTTTTTAGCTTTACATCCATCAAAAAATCCTGAAAATTATCATGGTTTCCAAAAAATATTAAACAGCAAAACTGTATTCAGCATTGATAATATTAAGAAAATATTTCTTGTGCAGCAAATCAGCATATTAGAATAATTTCTGAAGGATCATGTGACACTGAAGACTGGAGTGATGATGCTAAAAATTCAGCTTTGTCATCAGAGGAATACATTTAATTTAAAAATATATTAAAATAGAAAACAGCTATTTTAAATTGTAATCATATTTCAAAATATTGTTTTTACTGTATTCTTTATCAAATAAATGCAGCCTTGGTAAGTATTAGAGACTTAAGACATAAAAAAATCTTCCTGTACTAAAAAAATGTAAATGTAGTGTACGTATTATGTAACTATGTTTTGATTATATTTATTATGTAAAACGGGGAGATGCACTTATATTCCTGAGGATTTTTTCTAAATTATATTTAATAAATTGAATAAGATTAGTTGTGTTAATAATTTGTGTTTAAATTCTGTGTTTTTAGGGGTTCTTTCGTAAAGGGAATGTTCTTCTTGAAATGGGCAGACAGACTGAAGCCCTCATCCAGTTCTACCGCTGCCTGAAGCAGCAGCCTGACTTTGCCCCTGTGAAAAACCAGATTAAGAAGGTGGGTCTTTCAGAAAGTTTCCAGAAGTTTGATGAACAGTTCACTTTTCTGAAGAGAGTCAGATCCAAAACATCCAAATATGGAGCACATTTTGCTTAAAAAATGAATAAATGTTTTACATGATATGCAGATCTTGGAAGCAGAGGGAATGCCTGTACCGGAAGAAGTTCCACGGATCCTGCATGTTGTGTCGGAGTACTTGCAAGATCCCTGTCCCATCACCAGCTCTGTAAGCCCCTCTTGCACAGATACTCAGCGCTACACGCACAACAGTGCTGAAGGTCAAAGTGATGCCGGGCAGGTGAGGTGTGCGCACAGCGCTCTTGTGTAACATTGGTAATGTGAGCAACTAAAATATTAAACTAAAAGATCTGATATAGTTGTTATTGTGATGTTTTCTTAAAGATTCTTTTTGTCTTCTTCATGAAAATAGACTTTGATGCTGATATGGCAAAAAAAAAAAAATCATTTGTGATGTTAGCTATATGGGAAAGTTTTTGCTCACTCTCAAGGTCTTTCCTGTTCTGTCCTAGAATGCAACTAAAGTGAAGCATGGTACCAGCGGCGAGTGCTGCCTGAGCCTGTGTCAGGCCGTGTCCTTCCTCCCCACTGCTGAGGATGATGAGGAAATGATGATGAAGAGAGAGGAGAAACAGAATGGAGGTAAAGATATCTTACTAACTGTTCATGGAAACAAATGTAATGCATTTATATATGCACCTTCTAGAAATAATTAAAACATAATTTTTGTATTAAATATAATTCAATAATATTTTCAAAGTTTAGTTTTTAAATGGATAGTTCCAGTCCAGAATGCTGAAAAGTAGTTAGTTTAGCTGCTTTGCGTCATACAATTTGAATTAATTGTCACTTGATGATGATTATTAATCATCATTAATCTCATACTTTTTTTAAACTACGCATTAAGTAAGGAATACATAATAATGTATGTAGGTGTTGGTTTCAGCAAATTGTGTGGGACTGGTTTGACATTTTGGCCATAATTATATTCATAACATAGCACATTAGCCAAGCTATATATATACAGTATAGCACATCCTCGAGTGACTTATTGCATATGTATACAAAAATGTAATAATATGTCATAAGTAAATTGTCATATTAAACATATGATATTCATTTTGTTCATTGTTTAACCCAGGTAAACATAATGGGTTATACAGTATATTAATAATATTATTAAATATTATTATTCATATAAATATTATTTAATTTTACTTCCTAAGCAGTTCTCAAATAATACTGTCTTTGTTTAGACATGATTAGACAACAAATCAGAATGACATTCATTCAAAGTTTATTTTGGTTGTTTGATTCTTTAGGTGTGTGCACTGTGGGCAGAGAGTCCTGCCTCAGCGTTCTGACAGTGACTGATTTTGAGTGCCCTCTCTGCATCAGGTCAGTGGAGATTTATAGTGTGTCCTTTTTCACTGACCTTATATCCTGCTACAAGACCCTTGCATTTTCTTGAACTTTGATATAGTCTTTAAATGTTAGATTACAGCTGGCACTTGCTTAATTGAAGACACAATATGTTCTTTAATACTTTAACAAGTGTAATTCAATATAGGGAAATGTCATGACACTGTTTTATTCTTGTTTTGTGGTCATACCAGTGTATTTTAAGTTACTATGGAGCTGTTAAATGCATGATTCTGGTTTACAAACGTTCTAAGGTGTGCAATTATTTTCAGGGAAACGCACAGCTAAAGTTGTTCCAGGAAGGTCTTGACTACATTATATGTCCATATCACTTCGTCAAATGATTTCAGAGGTCCTTACAGCCTACAATAGCAAAAGAACAAAAACCTACAAAGACATTGACCAATCAAATTGATATAACAAACAATAAGATAAAAATGACAAACTATATCCATGTTTTCGCAATGGAACTACCTTTCATTATCTATGGAAACCACACTCTCTTTCTCCTGCTCTCTCTCCCAATATAGAAACACACCCACACACACACACAAACTTGTTGTCAGTGCTGCCCTGCGTCTTTATCAGTAAAATAGTTTTGCAACTGAAAAGCTATATGACATTTTTGCAGTTTCTCAGTTACGTGACTGTTTTTAAAGCAGTTAAACTTACATCTTCACTATTAGTTAGACGCTGCTTGCGATGAGATGCATAAGAAATTAGTGTTTAAAGGATAATAATCTGACATATGTCTTGAAATAAAACATTGAACAATGTTTTGAGGCGTGGTAACTGTAATGTAACCGGAATATATCGACTCCGGGCTGTTGAATTATTTGAAAATGTACAAAATAATGCACTACTATTTGTAATAATTAAGCGGCATGTTGTTAATTATTCCTTATCAATTGTTATTATCAGTTGATATATTTCTGCAAAGTGATCCTCTTAATGAAATGGGATAAAACCAGATAAAAATTTATATCTCTCTTAATGAGGATTTTAGCAGTTTTTTTATTCCAGAAGACCGTAAGAGCTGTTGTGCATAAACAGATTTGTTTATTAACTTCCCACCTCTTATCTGTGCTCAATGGATCACTATCATGATCAATGGATTAAAGGTTATTCTATGAGCCAGTGACAACACCCTGTGGACACACGTTCTGCAAGAACTGCATCGAGAGAAGTCTTGATCACAATCTCCGCTGTCCACTCTGCAAACAACCACTGCAGGAGGTACTACTGAAACACAGACTGTTACAATAATTACATGTGTGTGTGTGTATATATATATATATATACAGGTCCTTCTCAAAAAATTTGCATATTGTGATAGTTCATTATTTTCCATAATGTAATGATAAAAATTAAACTTTCATATATTTTAGATTCATTGCACACCAACTGAAATATTTCAGGTCTTTTATTGTTTTAATACGGATGATTTTGGCATACAGCTCATGAAAACCCCAAATTCCTGTTTTAAAAAATGAGCATATTTCATCCGACCAATAAAAGAAGGGTTTTTAATACAACAAAAAAAAGTCAACCTTCAAATAATTATGTTCAGTTATGCACTCAATAGTCAATACTTGGTCGGGAATCCTTTTGCAGAAATGACTGCTTCAATGCGGCGTGGCATGGAGGCAATCAGCCTGTGGCACTGCTGAGGTGTTATGGAGGCCCAGGATGCTTCGATAGCGGCCTTAAGCTCATCCAGAGTGTTGGGTCTTGCGTCTCTCAACTTTCTCTTCACAATATCCCACAGATTCTCTATGGGGTTCAGGTCAGGAGAGCTGGCAGGCCAATTGAGCACAGTAATACCATGGTCAGTAAACCATTTACCAGTGGTTTGGGCACTGTGAGCAGGTGCCAGGTCGTGCTGAAAAATGAAATCTTCATCTCCATAAAGCTTTTCAGCAGATGGAAGCATGAAGTGCTCCAAAATGTCCTGATAGCTAGCTGCATTGACCCTGCCCTTGATAAAACACAGTGCACCAACACCAGCAGCTGACATGGCACCCCAGACCATCACTGACTGTGGGTACTTGACACTGGACTTCAGGCATTTGGCATTTCCTTCTCCCCAGTCTTCCTCCAGACTCTGGCACCTTGATTTCCGAATGACATGCAAAACTGAGCAACAGTCCAGTGCTGCTTCTCTGTAGCCCAGGTCAGGCGCTTCTGCCGCTGTTTCTGGTTCAAAAGTGGCTTGACCTGGGGAATGCGGCACCTGTAGCCCATTTCCTGCACACGCCTGTGCACGGTGGCTCTGGATGTTTCTACTCCAGACTCAGTCCACTGCTTCCGCAGGTCCCCCAAGGTCTGGAATCGGTCCTTCTACACAATCTTCCTCAGGGTCCGGTCACCTCTTTTCGTTGTGCAGCGTTTGTTTGCCACACTTTTTCCTTCCCACAGACTTCCCACTGAGGTGCCTTGATACAGCACTCTGGGAACAGCCTATTTGTTCAGAAATTTCTTTCTGTCTTACCCTCTTGCTTGAGGGTGTCAATGATGGCCTTCTGGACAGCAGTCAGGTCGGCAGTCTTACCCATGATTGCGGTTTTGAGTAATGAAACAGGCTGGGAGTTTTTAAAAGCCTCAGGAATCTTTTGCAGGTGTTTAGAGTTAATTAGTTGATTCAGATGATTAGGTTAATAGCTCGTTTAGAGACCCTTTTCATGATATGCAAATTTTTTGAGACAGGAATTTTGGGTTTTCATGAGCTGTATGCCAAAATCATCAGTATTAAAACAATAAAAGACCTGAAATATTTCAGTTGGTGTGCAATTAATCTAAAATATATGAAAGTTTAATTTTTAACATTACATTATGGAAAATAATGAACTTTATCACAATATGCTAATTTTTTGAGAAGGACCTGTTTATATATATATACAATTCTAACTTTAAATTTAAAAAATGCACTTGTGAGATATAAAGTTGCAATTGTATTATTTTATTTTATTTTATTTAACTTTATTTTACAATTAAATGTTTTATGTTTTTCACCTACAGAATAACATGTCTTAAATCAGACCTGATTCTTCTAATTCAAGTCAATCACATTATGTTTTCATGAAGTAAATAAACAAAAATAAAACAGAGCAAATCATATTACATAGCAGTATAAGTCTCACCACATTACTTCCTATTCTCAGTATTTTAAGAACAGGAAGTACAACCCCACAGTGCTGCTGCAGGAGATTATTTGCCGCCTCTTCCCCCAGCAGTTGGCAGAGAGGAAACAGGTGCACGAGGCAGAGATGGAAGAGCTCTCAAAGTGAGTGCCCCTCTCAATGATAACAAAAAACAGTGCTCCTGCCTATTTATTGTAAAGGAGTTTCTATGAACGGAATTTCCTATGCTGCTGAGGTCTGGAAGAACTACTCCAGTATCTGCAAAATGTATAAAATGGTGTCTAGAAGTCTTCACACAATATCAAACGTCTTCTGGACTGTTAAAGCCTCTGAAAAAGTGTGCCATCTTTTAATTGACCATCTTTTATCTCCAGTTTGACCAAGGACATCCCAATCTTTGTGTGCACAGTGGCGTACCCTGGCATCCCTTGCCCGCTGCACATCTTTGAGCCACGCTACCGTCTGATGATGCGCAGATGTATGGAGACGGGCACCAAAAAGTTTGGCATGTGCAGCTATGAGCATGGCAAAGGGTATACAAATAAAATATTATGCAGCTAACATCTGTCATTTAAGGTTATGCTAGCATCCGCACTTACTGATTTTAAGAAACTTAATTTAGGCCTTATTAATTCTCAAATTTACACTGAACTAAACACTTTTGTTTTTGTGTACGACTGTGTACATTTTGTGTACATAGAAAAAGTCTTAGATCTTTGAGTTCAGCTCATGAAAAATGGGGGCAAAAACAAAAGTGTATATACATACAGTCATGTGAGAAAAGAAAGGACACCCTTCAGAGTTTTTTGGTTTTAAGTATCATAAAAATCATCTGTTTGTTAGCAGGTCTTAAAATTAGGTAAATACAACCTCAGATGAACAATAACACATGACTTATTACACCATGTCATTATTTAACAAAAGCCATATATATATATATATTACAGTATTTTGATACTAGAATTTCCTGTCACAGCTTTGCAGATTATGGCTGCATGTTGGATATTTTGGAACTTGAATTGCTTGCCGATGGTCGCTCCTATGTGGATACAGTGGGAGGAAGTCGCTTCCGAGTGCTCAGGAGAGGACAGAGAGATGGCTACCACACTGCTGATATTGAGTACCTGGAGGACCATAAGGTCAGAGGTTACAGATTGCCATAACTCAAATTTCAGATCTAAGTCCAAGAAAAAGGCACATTGGAAGAAGTCTTTAATGCAATACAGCATTATTAAAGCACATAAAGACCGTATAGCAAATATGAAAAAATTTAACCTTATAACCAGATAATACAAGAATCATGTAAATTAAATTGCTCTCATGGGGCCATACCATTGAAACATTCTAGAATTCTATCTAATCTATTTAGTAACTATGGTGATTTCAGTTAGTTTAGTTAAATCAAAGAGTATAGAAGAACAAGAGGCGAAACTCTGATGCTTTTTTGGTAACAGCCACTAGGTGGCGCTTCGGTAGCGCAGGCGCCATTTTGGGGTAAAAATTCCAACTGGAGTTACTGGACAACAGCCCCAGATAGCACACGTACGTCTGCAAGATGTCTGTTAAAGATCACTTCATCTGGAAAGCATCTGCTGTTTACTAGCATCTGATAGACATCTTTAAGATGTCAGTTTAACATACATTCTAAATCATTACATCTTAAAGACAACGTCTATTTGACATCTAACAGGAAACGTCCTATAGACGTATTGCAGATGAGCAAACACTCTAAATAATACGTCTTCCAGATGTAAACACGCACATCAACTAGACGTCTCCGTGATGTACGTGTGCTATCAGGGGCACAGATAACAGTTTTTTGAGGTAGTTTTTTCTTGCATTAGTGAGTATTTCCATTTTATGCAACTTTACACATGGTAACTTACTACTATTATTAGTTACCAACTCCACTAGGCCTGAAATATATTTTGTACGTTTTAATCCCCTGGATCATGCTACAAACATGATGCTGCTGCAGTGCTGTGTCCGTTATCCTATAACTTTAATTGCCACTTTGGACAGTGGCTGTGTTTTTTTGTTTACATAGTCTTGCTTTAACGGTCATTAATATAAGATAGTACTGCAAAAAAAAAAACAGTTTACTGTAAAGCTATTCTATTGCTGTTATATCTTTATTGTCCAACATTTACATTTTTGTACAATTTATTTGCTGAATTCATTTATTTCATTGATAACTTATTTTTGTATGTAACATTATGTGTACCTCCTGGGAAACGGTCTAACGTTATTATAACTTTATGAACTGAGATCACTTTATTCTTACCTGTCACACTTAATATGGAGAGTAATATAACATTAATTAATTCAATCCTTGAACTTCAGTTATGTCTCAAGTTATGTGGGGGAAAAAGCCTGGTAGCAACTTCTTTTTAACTGCTATAACGTTAACTGTTGTGAGTTAAAATAATCACCTTATTTAAACCTAAAAATGACCTCTGCACTGGACTAAATATATGTATAATATATGACTGCCGAGTCGCTTTCACCCCAAAATGGCGGACGCGTAGCGCTGCTGCTGGTGCTGGTGTTGCAATGGAACGTTCTATTGGCTTTCACTTCTTGTCAATATACGTTCTTTGGTTAAATCTTAACTTAAAGGGGTCATATAATGGTACATGCACTTTTTCAAGTTGATTGTACTGAAATGTGTGTTGGCAGTGCCTGTACACAAACATCATATAATGATAAAAATCCATCCAGTGTTTTTGTTTTATTCTCCTTATATGTTTTCCCCTGCCTCAAATCGAGCCGTTCGACCGTGTGACGTCACACGGTCGGACGCCCCTCCCGCGATTGTTGATTGACAGCCAGGTTTCAACACAGACCCGCCCTCGCTCGTGAGCCAGCTGTCAATCATAGTCTGCGCGGACCGGCGCGATCATTGTTGATATGCTGGAGCACTGTCTATGAGCAGAATAGCGTCTAAGCGATTGTGGTGTTCTGTTCTTGGGTGTAATAAGGAACACAGCAGTCATTTTAATGTTCCCAAATCCGAACCGCTGAAGACGCAGTGGCTGAGTTTTGTTTTCGAAGGGAATATTCCCCACGAGCAACGTCAATGCTCTCATGTTTGCCCGAATCATTTCTCAGCAGACTGCTTTATAAACGAGGGTCAGTATAAAGCTGGTTTTGCTAAGAAGCTTCCTGAATAAAGGATCGGTACCAGCTATTCGTGTTCCTGCTGAACCTCTAGAACAACTGAAGTGAGTGTAACGTTTTATTATCCTTTATATTAATATTTATATCTTTGCAAATCGCTTGCACGCTTCACAATGAATGAGTCTAAGGTTTACACTCAGGGTACATTACGGCATGTTTTCTATGTACGACGTTCTCAATATAATTCATAATCCCACGTTTATAACGAACAACGCGTTATGGTTATTGTGTTACAAACGTGTACGCACAGAACAGAGGGGCGGGGTGAGCACAGCTCATTATCATTTAAAGGCATATGCACTGAAACGGCGTGCTGAAAACAGAGCTGTTTTTGACCAGGTAAAATAATGTTTTCTAACAATACTAATGAGAATTTTAATTAAAGTATATTACAAACTTTTAATTTAGACCCTAAAGAATCATATTAGCTTGTACAAAAATGGCATTATATGACCCCTTTAAGGCTTAAAGAGGCTATATGCGTTTTTCTGAAATTTAAACTCGCGACTGACACCTGTGGCCAAAAAACAGAACTGCTCTTCATTTCTGCTCGCTCTCGCAGTGCGCGCTCGTACGTGCACACTTCACAAGTCATCTGCTGCAAGGAGGTCAACATTATGTTTACAGAGGTAAGAACAGTCAATTACATATATTGTTTGAGATAAGTGTTCTCTTATCAAAACGTCAAACGTGTAGCTGACAAACTACACAAAAAATTAATACATTAAATAAATAAATAAACCCATTTCATCATTGGCCTACACGCTGATGAAGGGCGCACAGCCCGAAACTTTCATAGAATATTAAAAACACAAATCTGAGCACTGTCCTTGACCACTTATTATACACAAGTAGCTTACTATCACCAAGTATGAAAGACACATATACATAATACCATTTAGCAATATTTATTGACTACATGTCTTAATACGTGAAATAAAATGCATCACACTTTATATCTTCATTTACCTCTTATTTTGTGTTAAGATATAGAAACAACAAACAATATAATGTAGCTTTACATGGCTATATAATAAATAATAATTTATTTAAGGGGGAGGGGCGGAGAAGGAGAGAGAGAACGCTCGAGGGAGTCATTCCGGCAAGCGTTTGCATCAGAAACGACGGCAGTGTGGCTCATGAGTGGCAGCTGCGCGTCTGTGAGAGGAGGCGGAGAAGGCGATATCGAGGGTCGAGGGAGGGAGTCCGGCGAGCGGCGAGCCACAGGCTCCGGCGGCCTTTGAGAACGGTGCTTATTTTGCGCGGTCCTGCAAAGGGCGGAGTGACAGCTTGAGGGTTGAACTCTTCGAGCCGAGCCCGCAGGGTCGTGTTGTTGTTACTGTTGGTGTCCGAGTTGTCCTGGGTCTCTTCTGTGTATTCGCAAAATCCATTGCACAGCTTGCGAGTGTAGGCTACTTGCTGACTAGCGGTGGTGGCAGAGTGATCTGAAACGTTTAACATGAACGCGCTTGACGTCTAGCCTGGTTAAAACCAGACCATTCTCAGTTGTAACTGAGTTATGGTCTGGCAAAGTGTCATAGACAAATCATTTCCAGAGGGGCGTCACCAACGGACGTCGCGGACAGACCTAAACCCAATCAGAGCGATGCCGATGAAGGAGATGACGTATGCAGAGCGGCGGAAAAAACATCTCTGAGTGTTGTTCTTTGCTCGGTTTTTAACTAAAAGGAAACGTTCAAATCGCTTAAAACAGACGCGATGGCTGATTCGAACGAGTGATGTTCGACGGCAGCATCCATCTTTGTAATGTAGGCTACAAAATCATGTTCAAAATCCCAGCGCTCAGCGCTGTCGTCATCGTGTAAAGCCCGCCCCAACGTTTCTGTTTGGTGCCGCGATTTCGGCAGATTGGAAATGAGCTTGAATGAGCTCTTTGCCAGACTAACTTTCAGAGCAAATCTAAATTTGCTGGAAGTTGTCTGGGTTTTCCCAGGCTACTTGACGTCACATCCGCAGACAGCGCGGGAAAAATCCGACCCGACAGAAAATAGGAAAAATAGGATACAGGCTTATAGGTGCACCCACTGTGAGCGGACAAGGTGTCAGTATGCTCATCAGGAGATGTTTGAGTCATAAATGGTAAAATAAAAAGGCTATTGTTACGTTTATTTTGGGGAAAAAGTTGCATATAGTCCCTTTAAGATAGGAAGTATCTTTAATACAGCCCTTGATATACTTCTCATCTTAAAGGTTTCTTGTCACAATAGAAATCTGGCACATATTTATCTGAAATATTTCCTGATGACACACTTGCATTCTATAATGTATATTAGTATTTAAACTAAAGTGCTGCCTGCGTGAGCCTCCGGGATATTATTCTACCATAGCAAACTGTAGCAGTAGCAAGCTCTTTTTGTCATATTATAATATTCTGTCATTTTAATAACATGCATTTCAGTATATTATATTAAAATATAATGATCTGAATGCCTGGATAAAGGTGGATCGTTTTAATACTGCTTTGACCTGTTGTGGGACACTTCCTCAAGATTGAAATTTGTGCAGAAGTTTCTCACACTTTCTGTACACTGCACTGCATAGGAAGTTGTGGTGCCCACTGAGGCTATATGTGGAAGCGATCTTGATTGTTGTGATCACTCAAATAGTGCAGTGACACCAAGATGATTGTCATAATAATAATAATCAAGCCATTTGGCTGCCGCAGTTATTTTCATTAAATTGCATCCGGTTGAGCTCACATACTAGGGCAGAATACTGTAATTTATCGGTTTAACACAGTAATTTCAACAGGTTCAGGTTGGTTCTGACTCTGACAATTAAATGTTTATTAATGAAATGTTTAAGGCAAGTAGAGCCACGCAACAGTGTGGTGTTTTTCGTTCAGTTATTATTATTATTAGTAAATAAAGTTGGACTTTTTAATCTTCTAGTTGTTTTCCCAATGGTTATGCGTCTCATCCACCTAAATAAGGTGTCATGATTGAACATTAAATGAAAAGCATGCATAAAAGATTCATGAGGGGGTTATTACCACTATCACAAGCCTGAGCCTTTTTGCATGATAGATAGCTTTTAATGGCTATAAATATGAAACCTTTTGTTAGCACAGCAAATTTAATATCAAGTAAATACTTAGTGTTAATTAGCGTTAATTGCAAGTGTATTCATCGAACAGCTTGTGATTAACTGCCTGTTAGTCAACAAATTCAGGCTCTTTTCTAACATCTCTTCATTATGATTTCACAAGGATTGTTTTATCATCAGGTTGAAAAAAGCATATAAATAACAGTAAAACTTCTACTTGTTTGCGTTTAGGTCGAAGGCGGCGAGCTTGAATTACTGCAGCTTCACCATGACAGCGTGTATCAGCAGGCGAGAGAGTGGTACCATCGTCTGAACAGCCGCATTCAGGATCAGATCAGCCGGCAGTACGGCATCATGCCCGAGAAAGAGGACAACATTCAGGTCAGAGCACACAGAATATTGTGTTTATTAGCAAAACCACTGATCTTGCATTTTAATAGTAGCTTTCTAACGAGAATGAATGTGTTTTTGTGCGTTGCAGGCGTCTGCTAATGGACCGGCCTGGTGCTGGTGGCTGCTGTCAGTGCTGCAGTTAGATCCAGCCTATCAGACCACCGTTCTGTCTTTGACTTCTCTGAAGGATAGACTGGGTCATCTACGCATTGTACTAGAATACTTCTCTCAGAGCTAGGACAGAGACACATTATATGCCAATATTGCTGATCTCATCACATGCATGCCCCACAGAAGATATATATATATTTTTTAATTTGTCACTTTTTTTTTCTTATCATAATCCATACACAAGATCTTGTGCTTGGATTATACAAAGGACAGCTATGGTATGGGTTGGTTAAAAATAAGATGACTTGTTCCAGTGGCTTTACAACTATTGAATTAGTCATTGAACTAATTCCTACTTAGTCAAGCACCAAAGAATTAAGGACTCGTTCTACACAGAACAGCTGTTTATTGGTTCACGCTGTTCACTTCATTAAACTTCATCAGAGTGGATGCCAAATGTTACAGCTAGTTTTGTTGACATACATTTGAGATGTTTCCAGTAGTGCTGCGCCCTGGCCAGGATTTTTTTTTTGAATGTGTAGCCCACATTTGTGGCCGAGAGGGAAACTGTTGGCCCAAGGTTCTGATGACTGAATAGGAGCTCATTGATTATACATGAATGAAACGCTTATGTCTACAGACTCAAAATCGCACAATTCCGGCCGTACATTTTAGTAGAATCATAAATCATATTATGAGGAGTTACATTAATATTGCTATACTAATGACATAGAATACACTTCCTTTTTTTCCATAAATGAAAGCCGCTAGTTGTGCTTGTTTCATTTTTAGTATTAAATCTGTTGCAACCATGCTGGCATAACGGTAAGGAAAAGAGAGGAAAGAATTCTAGCAGTCCGTAGTATTTTTTTGAAAGAAAGAAATTAAAATCGATCAAAAGTTACAAGTTTTATAGTTAAACATTTATGATGTCACAAAAGATTTCTGTTTTTAAAAAATGCAGTTCTTTTGAACTTTCTAGTATAAATCAAACAAAAACAGTTTCCACAATAATATTAAACAGGCAACTGTTTTCAACAACAACATAATATAGCTTTGCATCACAGGAATAAATTACATTTGAAAAATATTCAAAAGGAAAACAGATATTTTAATTTTAATGATAATTTACAGTATTTTTGTTTTACTATATTTTTAATCAAATACATGTAGCGTTGATGAGACTATAAAACATAAAAAATCTTACCAGCCCCAAATTTTTGAACGGTAGCGTACAAAATTCTCAATCAAACTTCAGATTCAGACTTGTCATGGGCACCAGGCCCGTTGTGGGAGGTGTTGTGAAGGTTTTAGCCATCTGGATGATCAGTACAGCTCTCCAAACCTCTTTGTGTCAGTCATATTGGATTATTTCTGTGTGCTTGTGCCTTGTTTTAGGTCTTAATCTGGTTTCAGATTTTTAGTTAAGGAGGACTGTGACATTTAATTTCCTTATTTAGTGCCACATTCTGAGGAATGTTAAAACTGCAATGTTACATGTGATGTAACACTTAAATGGACTTAAAACGTACCTTTTTTTTTTTACTCTGGTGAATGTGCCATTGTTTATTTTATAGCTGGAAGTCCAACAAGGGTTAAAATGCACCAACCTGCACTGTCACATTTTTCTTTTGTACTTTACACATTTTTCATATTTGATCTGTTGTGCACTACTCTGAAGATTACTGTCAATTTGCCATATTGAAAACCAGTTATTAACATGTGGGTGCATTGCTTTCAACCCTGTTTTGAATGCAGTATGCCTAAACGTACTGATTTACGACAGAAACAGTGTCTTGTTTGAGGAGATATAAATCTGGGTACTTTTGGAGGAAGGATTTTTAGGGCTCGTCTATTAGGTACAAAAAGGTTCTTAAAATGAGATTGAAAGAGGCCTCAGTTATGTTTCTCATGAGACCGCAATGAATCAGAGAGACACATATTTGAAAGGGATTTTTTGAAATATTAGAAACGTTACTGATTGTTGCATCTGATGTGTTGTTTCATGTCTAAGGTGCCCTCTTGTTGTCTAATACCTTCCATCCTCAGGATTAAGGACTTGAAAATCACTTACAAATGCTTTCAGAACTGTTGCTTCATCTGTAGTGTGACTCAGTTACGTGCTATCGAGTCTGACAATGTCAAATGTTCACCCTTCTGTTTATTACTAGTGTATGTGAAAGTGGCAGATCCTGTGGTGTTGCTTGGGGATAGTAGTACACATGTAATGTGTGACTTTATTCTTCACTAATAGTCTCAAAAAACAAGAAGGACTCTCCTGTAAACCTCAAATCAGTTAAAGAGCTATAAAAAAAGACTTTGGTTTTATAGATTAGTCCAATCAATTCAAACTCAATAATCAAGATTATATCCATTGTTTTGTTAAGAAATTGCTCGAGAAGCAAATATTTTCCAGTCAATGGCAAATAATGATTGCTTGCTTGTTTTTAAATGATCCGTGGACTCTGATGCATAGTATTTTTTTCTTTCTTTTTTGTCACTAATTATTTTATTGTCATATATTGTTGTGTTTGGAATTAAAGCAGCCTTTGCCAGAGTATTTTATAATTTGTAATCCCTGGTGTAAACTAGGGGCCTGTATCAGTGATTTTTCTTTTGAGAGATTTGTTGTATAACTCTTAAGGAGTTATACGATACGCATTATACTACAATAAATGTAACATGAAAATCATTCAAAATATCATTGGTTTTCTGTCATTGGAAATTGCTAAATCAAATTAATAATAATAATAATAATAATAAAACATTAAAATCAAACCTATTTATTTATTTACCAAGCATCCACTAGATGGCGTCATACAATAACATGATTGGCACCAGATTGTCTGATGTATTAGCAGCATCTATCAGCATCTTCCATTTCTTACCGTGGAAGAGTAAAGATGTTAGTTTTTCCCCTTTCCAAGCAGACTGGTCTATCATATTTAGCTAGTTTTAAAGTTTTTTTTTTTGTCAATAAAGGTCAATAGGGACTATTGTTATTTTGTATGTATGGATAAAACATCTTTTTATCAAGGTCCCACTTGTTAATGTTAGTAAGTTAGTGCATTAAAGGAGGTTCACTCAAAAATGAAAATTCTGTCATCATTTACTCACCCTCAAGTTGTTCCAAACCTGTATGAATTTCTTTCTTCTGCTGAACAAAAAAGAAGATATTTCGAAGAATGTCGATTACCAGTTGTTGGGACCCCATTGACTTCCATCGTACTTTTTTTCTCTCCATTCTATAAGTCAATGGGGTCCAATGAGCAATACATTTGTTAGAGTATGCCTATTTATTAATCTTTGTTAATGTTAGTTAATAAAAATACAAATTTTAGCTTATAGGTTTATTAAATAGTATTAACAGATACAACGTTTGATTTTAAAAAAGCAAAAGAGAGAAACTCATTCAGGTTTGGAACAACTTGAGGGGGAGTAAATTACAGAATTTTCATTTTTGGGTGAACTATCCCTTTAATAAACCATCTGATAGCAATGTGGATGTTTGCAGCTCTGCAATTCACATGGGACACCATTGTAACATCCTATAAGGTAAAAAAAAAGGGATGACATCTAGTCGAGAAGACTATCTATAGCCTAATAATATTTATGTTAGTCAGATATTGGTTGTGTCCGAAATTGCCCCATACCCTCATATCAATTTCACATTTATTTCTAGAACACAGTTCAGGTAACTTAGTGGGATTGAATGTGAGATTGAATAAGTGATATATAGCGTCCACATGGTTTCGGACACCCAAATGGCTGTTCCCTCAAATAGTGCCCTATTTAAAGTCTCTATGAATTTTTTTTCTTTCTTTTATTTCCAACCAAAATTCACCGTCTGTCTGACAAGCTACAGATTAGCAAAAAAAAAAAGCGATTAGCCTACATGAGAATTCTTACATAACTCCTTCAAGTTGCACGCGCAGATTTCCCGCTAAATGTTGCTTGACCACATCTACATTAGGCCTAAATAATAAAATGTTTAAGCAACTTTTAAGTGTAAAAAGCTTTGTGGGACATTCCTGCACAATCACAGTCTGTTGTGAGGGGGAGCTCTGTATCTGAGGACGTCTTTGTGATTTATCTCAATGTGAACATCAAAGCCCATTAAAAACACAGGCAGTAGAGTAGTAGCCTACGGTAAGCTAAATTGATCCATCATCACCCGGCTGCAACTCCATTTTTGTCGTTAATATTTATAAAAAACTTGCTCTTTCTATGTTAAGTGAAATGTGTTTACACGTGAGTGTGTTCAAAATGGACAATTCTTATTTTTTATGGAATTTTGCAGTTTTTATTATAAATTATTTATCTGTGTACATCATTAGTTGATGGGCCCCCCATTTACTTCTATGTATTTTTTCTCCATACTATGGAAGTCAATGGGGCCCATCATTTGTTTACCCATATTCTTCAAAATAATCTTCTTTTGTGTTCAGCAGAAGAAAGAAATTCATACAGGTTTCGAACATCTTGAGGGTGAGTAAATTATAACATAATTTAAATTTTTGGGTGAACTATCCCTTTAAAGGTAACCTGCATAGGACATCTGTGTGTGCTGATGAAATCCCCATTATGTGTTGAGTAGACAGTTGAAGTGCTGTGTCAAAACGATGGCAATTAATTTGGGATGAAATCAATGTAATTTCACAAAGCCAGTCTGTCACCATTCTGTTCTGTTTAGTTTAGTTTTCATGGACATTCAGTTTGTTTTCATTTGTCACGTGTCTTCTTTGTACAGATTCCCGCCACCCATTTGTCTCCTTGGTTACCATTATCATTGGTTCATATGCAGGGCTGTAGCTAGAGGATTCGGGGCCCCCTGAAAAAATATTGATGTGGGCCCCACCACCCTCCACCAATATCATATACTGTACAATAGATGAACATGGAGGCCCACATATAACAGAAGATGGTGATCAATAGATGAACATGGAGGCCCACATATAACAGAAGATTATATGTGGGCCCCCCCCCCCCCCCCCCCCCCCCCCCCCCACCAATATCATATACTGTACAATAGATGAACATGGAGGCCCACATATAACAGAAGATGGTGATCAATAGATGAACATGGAGGCCCACATATAACAGAAGATTATATGTGCCCCCCCCCCCCCCCCCATCAGTCTGTTATAATTCATAAATCAAAAAGTAAACATTTAGAAATTGACAAGAATGCAGTCTAATTAAAAAAATAAAACCATTTATTGCCTTATTTTTTTATAAAGATAATATGGAACTGGTAATATTATTAAATAAAGCGAATACATTTATTCATCCAAGTGCAGTGTGTTGTATTCGTGTTTTCTTGATGTTTTAAATATCATCAGTCGGCAGTTCAGATGCATAATGCAATGCGTCGTGACTCGTGTAATTTTTTTAAAACTCTATTTACAATAGTGTCAGGGGCGGAGTGGGACCAAAAAATCTACCGGGAAATTTCGTAGACCACCGGCCCTCGTCGCCGGCAGGGCCGGATTAAGAGCCCCCTGGGCACAATGTCTTGTAGGTCCCCTCTTAGGCAGGCCAAATGTATATTTTGTCCAGGGACATTTTAATACGGCATTTACAGTTTTACTGATTTAAAAGTAACTTTGTTGTACTATGCTGGAGTAAAGTTCATAAATGGTCGTTCTTTCCCATAGGAATTTTTAAAACTATGTTGGGTGGACCTCTGTGCCTCTAGGGGGGTTCGGGGGCATGCTCCCCCGCAAGATTTTTTTTTACATTTTAAGGTTAAAAGCATCAATCTCGTGCTCTTTGAGAGATCAAAATTAAGAGCTTCAACCCATGAACTGCTCGTTGAACAAAGAAAAAGCATTGATTTGTACCAGGACAATAAAGAGGGCATCTTTTTAGTTATGAGAGTCTCAGTCTGCATTACATTATCAATGATGTTTTAGGATGCCAAACAATTATTAATATAATGTAATAATGATTTATATAATTATTCCTATGACGTTAAATCCATTTAGCCTATAAATGTACTATATAAATGAAAATGAATATTTCAAAAGTATATTTTAGCCTACATTACACTATAATATAGGACAATTAAAATATTTTTGTCCTAATTTCTTCATTTGCAAGAAATAAACCCTTGAGCTTTTAGGAGAAAACACCAGATAACCATGCTGATCGCGTGAGCAAAGTAATCACCCAGCACAGACAGGATGCCTATTCTTAAAGTCTTGTGCTGTTTTATAAAGACACAAAGCCATATCATGGTTTCAATTTTAGTTCGTTGGCAAAATATAACGCTAGAGACCTTAATGTTAGGTTATACATTTTACATCTTTACATATGTGTTGGGAAAAGGGAGAAGAGAGAGTTCGGCAAAAGGCGGATTCGAACTCGGGTCGAGCGCATCAAAAGCTGCTTTCCAGCACTTCACGCCCTACGACCTACGCCACTGTAGCTGTTTCGTAACGAGTGTCTTTTTGCTTTAAAGACAGGCACTTAGTGCAAATATACGGTCTGTTATAGAAAATGTTAAAAAAAAAAGTTTTCTTCCCCTCGCTTGGGCCCCAAGTGCGCATGGCGAATTTGCAATGAATATATTTTATCAGACGGGATTATGGAGCGTCTAAGGGGTGGCAGAGCTTGGACTGATAAAGCAGCCTTGTTCCACACTAACCTAATCCCCCTGTGTCAATACACTGATAAAGCTTCAAATGCTGTGTGCAAAAGAGTTAAGGTAAACATATCAGAGCCTTGGTGCTTGAGTCTCAGGGTGCGTTTGGTAATAATAAGACAAACGCATGCAGCACGTCTCCCTTCGTAGAGGTGGAGATTAGCTTCCATGAGAGGCAGCTGGCTTTGTTCCCTCCCCTCGCTGAGGTGGCAAGATGAGACACAGTAATCTCTAACCTCCCTGTGATGAGCTAATACATTTGAAAACAAAACAATAAAGTTAGGGGAACGTTAGAATGTAGTT